GCCGCCGCCCGCTACGGCCGAGGCTCGGGACAGATCTGGCTGGATGACGTGAACTGCTCTGGGGCTGAACCTGACCTCTGGACGTGCCCCTCCAGGGCGTGGGGCCAGCACAACTGCCAGCACAAAGAGGATGCTGGAGTCCTGTGCTCAGGTACGCTCGGGTCACGGGAGGGTCTGAACCATGGGTAGACAGCTGGGAAACGGCGTGTGGCAGACCTTGCTGGAGGGAAAGGCAACCGGGAAGAAGTCCAGTGGCCCGGAGCCTGGATGTTTCTGTGCCCAAGAGTATCAGCCAAAGGGCTTATGCTGCCTGTGGAACCCAAGGAGAGTGGTGTGTTGTGTTGCTTTGCTGTGGCAATATCAGAACCTACCATGTGCTCACAGCAGGGCTTCAAGGGGCACTGAGACAGCTTAGCAGAGCTGAACAATCTGGCTGATGCTCTCTGTCAGAGTAACGGTCTGGTAAAGTGGTGTTAGCCAGTGCTCAGCACAGAAGGAAGGATTCTGGTCAGAAGACAGAAGCTAGTAGAACTGAAATGGTAAAACTGCAAGCTTCAGGCTGCTTGTGGGACCACCTACAGCTTAGATTGACTGGTGTGGAGGAGGACCCTAACACCTTGGGAGGAGAAACCAGGGGCTCATGATGAACTGAAAAAGTAGTCCTTTCAGGCAGGCCTAGTTACAGAAACTAAGGAGCCTTACAGAAAAGAGTACACTGCTCTCCAAACTGTGACCACTCAATGGGTCTTTACTCTGACTGTGAACAAATGGAGAAATGTGGAAGTACTGGCTGTCACCACTCCAGGGAGAGACCTCTGCAGTCTCTGTGGCCCTGCTGGGACACCAGAACAGAAGACACACATCTGAAAGGTTGGGACAGCAGGACCTCAGGGAGCTCGGGGCATACGTCACTTGTAAAGACTGTACTGCACAGTGTAGGAGGGCTTGGGGATCAGTTTATGGACAGATATGCTGAGCAGTGCCTAATGGTGCTGATCCTGTGCTTCTGCAGAGGAGCTGTTCCAGCTGGCTCTGAAATAATTGCAAACAAGTCAGTGCATACCAAAACTTCCAACAAAACAGAGGAGTGTGTGGCACCTGTGCTTCAGTATAGCAAAAAAACCATGCCTGCAAGTGCAGGGGGTGGCCACCACTGCTCTTTGTTGATGGAGATGCTGGTGAATCTGCTGGCTAAGCAGAGAGGATCACCGTATGGCTTCTGGGTTGAGTGTTTGTCGCTCAGCGTGGGTTCCTCCGGCACCTTCTCATTCAGAGTGGTGAACAGACTGACAGCAGGTTCTGTAGTCCCCTCATCCCAGCCAAGTTCCCAGCGGAATCAGGCCCCTCAGGTTCCCCCCCTCTCTTCACTCCAGAGTTCCTGGCGCTGCGGCTGGCGAACGGCAGCGGCTGTGCCGGGCGGCTGGAAGTCTTCTACAACGGGACGTGGGGCAGCGTGTGCTCCAACCACATGTCCCAGCTCACAGCCACCACTGTCTGCAAGCACCTCCGCTGCGGGGACGGCGGGGAGATCGCAAGGGACTTCAGGTACGGCAGAGGCTCCGGGCCCACGTGGCTGGACCACGTCGAGTGTTCTGAGAAGCACAGCTCCCTCTGGCAGTGCCAGTCAGACCCCTGGGATCCTCAGTCCTGCGACAACCGAGCGGAGGAGACCCACATTTCTTGCACTGGTAATTACAAATGCACCTGCACAGGGCTCCCCAGACATGTGCATTAACCTCTGCATGAGGATGGACACTGCAATAATTATCTGGTTTGGTTTCTGGCACATATAATTTCTAGTTTCAGGAAAGTGGCACAAATATTTCTTCTTTGTCTATATCCTTGACACAAACAAGTGAATTAAAATTACATGGATGTCACCGAGTGCAGTCACCCAGTGGAAAACCCCAGGAAATCCCTGGTAGGGTAGTGCCACTGCAGATTTTTGAAGCAAAAATCTGATATACAGTCTGTGAGATCTGAGTTAGGATCAGACCTCTCAAAAAGTCCAGAGTCAGGTACGTGTTTCTGCATGTAGGTGGGCACACGAGTGCATGTGGACACGTGTGTGCCCCGGGCACGCGTGTGAACGAGTTCAGCTCTAAAGGGCCATTTCTAGTGCCTGCTCTCACAACAGTTTTCCATACCTGTGGATTCCCACTACAATATAGATGCATTCTAGATGACATTTAGATCTCCTGAAAGGGAGTGCAGCTGTTTCACATAAGCAGAAACCAAGCATAGTCATTGGGAAGACTACTTAATTCACAGCAATAGCCAGTGACCCACCAAGTACTAAATAAGGCATATATATATATCATAGGAAAAAAAATTAACTTGATGACTGATTTTCAGACATTTTATACTCACTCTTTTCAGGGAATAATCCAATTATTTACTTCAGTATTTAAATTCTGCAGGAAGAGAAGAGGCAACATCTCCAGCCACATTTGCCAACTGTCCAAACTCTACAAGCTGTTCAGGTACTTCTACCTCTTTGTTTCTCCTAATTGGTTCCTTTGGACCTTCCTGCTGTGTCAGCAATACAGGAGGCTTCTGTGTTTTGCAGACAGGGAGAAGTTACGAGTCATAGGAGGAGAGGATGGATGTTCAGGCAGAGTGGAGATCTGGCACGAAGGTTCTTGGGGAACAGTCTGTGATGATTCCTGGGACATGGACGATGCCAAGGTTGTATGCAGGCAGCTGGGTTGTGGAGCTGCTGTGTCTGCTCTGAGTGAAGCTGCCTTTGGGGAAGGGACCGGTCCCATCTGGTTGGAGAAGGTGGACTGTAAAGGAACAGAGATGTCTCTTTGGCACTGTTCTGTCAAGCTCTTGTTCAGCACAAACTGCAATCATAAGGAAGATGCTGCTGTGGAATGCTCTGGTTAGTGACTGGTCCTTTGGTTCATTACAGAGATCTGGGAAGGAGGTAGAGAAAAGAACATTGTGTCAGCTGCACGTCCCAGTGACTAGCCCTTCATAAACTGGACTACAGGAACTTCACAAATGATGTGAAGATGTTATCCCTATTTTTCACAGTTGCCACTTCTGAATCTGTACTTGTCTTCCTTTTGCAGATATGATAGAAACAACAACATCTCCCACTGCAGCAGGTAAAACATTCCTTCTTCCCTCTTTCTTTATCCCATCAAATGAGGATTTCATGTCCCTGATACTGCATAGCAAGTAAATCAGCAGCACCTTCCAGCTCATCAGAAAGCATCTCCTGTAGCCTGTTGTAGAGGAGAGCCAAGTGGCACTATTCCCAGCTGCTGAATTCTGGCAGAGGTGACCTGCCTCCCCCTGCCAGCACGGGCACAGCAGACTGCAGAGGAAAAGCCCTTGGGGTCCCCCCATTCTCTACCTGTTGGTTCCCCACTCCCCCTCAGAGCCGCCCCGGCGCCCCGCAGCCGCCAGCTCCAGGCTCTCGGCGCCCATCGTCCTCTGCATCGTCCTGGGGGCCCTCCTCTGCCTGGCCCTCGCCCTCCTCCTGGGACAGCTCTGGAGCGCCAGGGCACAGCAGAGAGGTGGGGCTCTCAGAACTGCTACCAAACGTGCTCCCCTTTCCCCAGCCCGAGCAGCAGCAGAGGCTGTGTGTGACCACTGCTTCCACTTGCAGGCTCCAGGCTGTCCCCCGACCCCTTCGCTGAGGCTGTCTACGAGGAGATCGACTACAGCCTGATGGATGCAAAGCAGGCCAGGACTGGCCTCTCGGGTCTGTGGGGCTTGCTTTTGTCACGGGAAAATTCCTCCTGCTGGCCCAGATCCCAGTCTGATACTTTGCAGCTCACCCATCTACTGGGAAACTAAAAGTGCCTAGACCTAAGAGAGGGATCTCCTGCCCCTGGACCCTGCCGCTTCCTTTCCTAGGAACAATGGACTTTGTGCTGTGCTCACTGCAGCCAGGCACAGAGATCAGCTTTGGCCAAACAAACAAAAGGCTCC